TCGTTGTGTTCACTCCCAGGGGAACTACTTCGAGGGTGATGGATGAATTTAATACCTGAGATAAGTGTACGGGTTTTTATACGCGCAGTCTGGAAACCTTTCGATCGCACCTCGTATGTGTTTAAAGGAAGAATGTGTTGAAAGGTATATAAGTGCACCGCACTGGTTCTCAAACTTTGTGACACTTCCACCCCATAAAATAACATATATGACCCCCACCACCACAATTAGAGCTACAAATTTCATTACAATTACATTAATTATGCATACTTACCTTTATACACAGAAATATCCCTAGAGGGGTGTGGGGCCTGGAGCAAAGCAGTCTACATGGGGCCCCTCCTCAATATTTCAAGGTGCATAATGAACAAATAAAGGAAAAAGGAAAAGGAAAAGACAACCAGTAAACTATGCGTCAAATACTACTGATGCCAAGTTGTATTCTTAACTCTGTCTGGGACTGCATTGAAATTAACAGGCTACATACGTTTTGTGTTACATTTTCACTTCTTGGGTGCTTCAGGTATTACTGTGCACAAAATATTTCATAAATCATTATGCTAATAAGCCCCTGCTCCCCCTAAAGCATGGTGGAGATATATAACATGTGCCTCAGTTTGAAAAACAAATTTGTGAATTTCTCACTCACCACTGAACACAGGTACAATTGTTGATTCAGTATACTGTGTGCTGTCCTGCTCTGGATTGTGGCAGACTGCTGTTGTGTCTGCAGGCTCTGTTGATTGCTTATCCACATGACCACTTCCCAAATCTTGAAATGCATCACTGTCTGTAAAATACAGTGAATACTATCAGAATGGAAAGCAGGACACAGAAATTTGGATCTTATATCTGTAAACACTCAACATGAGAACATTACAGAATACACTTGCTTCATCAACTGTAACAAATAAAAATTATGGCTGATGAATGAAAATTATCCATCACTGTATGTGCTGAATTCAATATTTCAATGATGACTGACATTTTCACAAAACCAGTGAATGAGGCCAACAAGTGCTCAGATCTGACTGTAGATGCATGGTATCCAGTGACGAACATGCTCAGGAATGTTGGGGGAACGCAGAGCCAAACAAACCGAGCGCTGACTCCGCCCCCTAGCTCCTTGGGCCTGGGTCCGGGCATGTGCACTGGTCCCAAGCAGGCAGTTACACAGGCGACTTCCGAGGATCCAGTTACATCAGAACCCTGAAGATGGGGACAGAGTTTGTTCCCAAAACATCGGTTTACTACGGTAACCAGTTAACGTGGCTGATTGCCCGAGAAGATTTTATTGATTGTACTCGCCGCAAAAGTCTCAAATCCTGTATCAGTCTATATTAATTAAATAAATTAGACAATAACAAGGAAAAAAGACCATTACAAACAATGAAATATAAAAAATAGCAGTATTGGTCTCATGTAAGTTATATTTCATTCACGAGAAAGTCACTACCTATTATTCTAAACACAATGAATGAAATAATAGATACTTTTTCATCCCCATACTTATCTGATGAGGAAGAAAATGAGTAGCTGCAGGACAGCCAAACCAAATCACAAGGGCTTGCCACAAGACTTAAGCAGCACAAGACTCAGATTAAATGGGGAGACAATCAGGTTACAAAGAGAGGTGACATGACAGAATTAGTTTGGAAAGACAATCAGAACTACATATGCTGACAAACATGCAGAAGGCATCACCACAAATTAAACTAGTAACAGTAAGTGCTGCAAAAGGACAGAATATCCACACACTGAAAATGTTGCTAGATAGTGCAGAAATACATACATCTATATTACATTCCACAGATCCATAAGTTAGATGACAAGAGGATATGGAATGAGTCATAATACATGATACATATTATAAAAGTACAATTCATACTGTTATAAAGAAAGGGTTCACGTAAATTAGCAGTATGTTACAAATAAATCCACCCATTACATACAGCAGATAAATTTTATTACCCATATACATTGTATGAAGACAAGAAAACCTTAGTAGTATTTGAGGTTTCCATGGGGGTAAATCTGAAAATGGCTGTCTTCTGGGTTGTTGTGCCATGCAGTCTAGTAGAAATTTAACGTTCAGAGGTCCTTGCTGTCTCCATTATCATATTGATGAGTAAGTTGCACGTGTGGAAACAGTTAGAGTTATAGGAGACTGACAGTCAAGGAAGAGTCTTGGCCTACCTAGTGGGGAATGGTGTCAGAATCAGGCAAGGGCCTGGGAACCAATGGAAGCAGGTAGGCATGCCACAGCCTGGCCAGCAAAAGTGGTAACGACATGAGAGAGAGAGAGAGAGAGAGAGATATGGAGTGAAGGAAAGAGAAAGAGGCCCAAGAAATCAGCCCTTATAAGGGACCATAGGAGTCTGGTTGGTGGATCACCAGACATATGGGAGATGGGTGGATGTGATGAGGAGGAATAAGGAAAGTGGAAATGAGGGCTGGCTGGGGCTGGAAGTGCCCTGAAAAGGGCAGTTTACTGGCTTAGTGGCCCAAGTGGGACTGGCAATGCTGTATGAAATTCTTCCTTGTAACAAATAAAAATTATGGCTGATGAATGAAAATTATCCATCACTGTATGTGCTGAATTCAATATTTCAATGATGACTGACATTTTCACAAAACCAGTGAATGAGGCCAACAAGTGCTCAGATCTGACTGTAGATGCATGGTATCCAGTGACGAACATGCTCAGGAATGTTGGGGGAACGCAGAGCCAAACAAACCGAGCGCTGACTCCGCCCCCTAGCTCCTTGGGCCTGGGTCCGGGCATGTGCACTGGTCCCAAGCAGGCAGTTACACAGGCGACTTCCGAGGATCCAGTTACATCAGAACCCTGAAGATGGGGACAGAGTTTATTCCCAAAACATCGGTTTACTACGGTAACCAGTTAACGTGGCTGATTGCCCGAGAAGATTTTATTGATTGTACTCGCCGCAAAAGTCTCAAATCCTGTATCAGTCTATATTAATTAAATAAATTAGACAATAACAAGGAAAAAAGACCATTACAAACAATGAAATATAAAAAATAGCAGTATTGGTCTCATGTAAGTTATATTTCATTCACGAGAAAGTCACTACCTATTATTCTAAACACAATGAATGAAATAATAGATACTTTTTCATCCCCATACTTATCTGATGAGGAAGAAAATGAGTAGCTGCAGGACAGCCAAACCAAATCACAAGGGCTTGCCACAAGACTTAAGCAGCACAAGACTCAGATTAAATGGGGAGACAATCAGGTTACAAAGAGAGGTGACATGACAGAATTAGTTTGGAAAGACAATCAGAACTACATATGCTGACAAACATGCAGAAGGCATCACCACAAATTAAACTAGTAACAGTAAGTGCTGCAAAAGGACAGAATATCCACACACTGAAAATGTTGCTAGATAGTGCAGAAATACATACATCTATATTACATTCCACAGATCCATAAGTTAGATGACAAGAGGATATGGAATGAGTCATAATACATGATACATATTATAAAAGTACAATTCATACTGTTATAAAGAAAGGGTTCACGTAAATTAGCAGTATGTTACAAATAAATCCACCCATTACATACAGCAGATAAATTTTATTACCCATATACATTGTATGAAGACAAGAAAACCTTAGTAGTATTTGAGGTTTCCATGGGGGTAAATCTGAAAATGGCTGTCTTCTGGGTTGTTGTGCCATGCAGTCTAGTAGAAATTTAACGTTCAGAGGTCCTTGCTGTCTCCATTATCATATTGATGAGTAAGTTGCACGTGTGGAAACAGTTAGAGTTATAGGAGACTGACAGTCAAGGAAGAGTCTTGGCCTACCTAGTGGGGAATGGTGTCAGAATCAGGCAAGGGCCTGGGAACCAATGGAAGCAGGTAGGCATGCCACAGCCTGGCCAGCAAAAGTGGTAAGGACATGAGAGAGAGAGAGAGAGAGAGAGATATGGAGTGAAGGAAAGAGAAAGAGGCCCAAGAAATCAGCCCTTATAAGGGACCATAGGAGTCTGGTTGGTGGATCACCAGACATATGGGAGATGGGTGGATGTGATGAGGAGGAATAAGGAAAGTGGAAATGAGGGCTGGCTGGGGCTGGAAGTGCCCTGAAAAGGGCAGTTTACTGGCTTAGTGGCCCAAGTGGGACTGGCAATGCTGTATGAAATTCTTCCTAAGTCCTTTGAGAGAGTGGATGAGGGGCTTCCATGACCAGGTCAGGCAAAGTCCATCCTCCCTGTTCAAGTTGCTCAGATGTCGCTCAATCTCGAAAGCCCCCCTGATCATCTGGTCCATGTATCTGGAGTTGGTGGACAGAATAGTGGGGTCTTGGAGTTGAATGCAGTTGTCCAGACTGATGCTGTGTTCGGCCATGATGAATTTATCTGGTTGCTCCTGCCGTGTCATGTCCCCCCCTCCTATTGGTTTCAAGGCCTTCACCTGATACTGACACCAATCCACACTCGTTAGGCCAAGGCACTTCTTTGACTGTCGATCTCCTACAACCCAATCAACAACCCAGAAGACAGCCAACCTCAGGTAAACCTTAATCAACATTATGACTTATTTGTAAACATTATAAATTCATCAACAGAGTAAAACGAGTGTGTATTTAAGTATCTCTCTAATGCTACCTTAAACTGTGCCTTTCAATATAGGAGACTTATGAGACTTGATGGAAGACCTGAAAACTTTAATGCAAACATAAGATGTACCCTTCTGAAAACATAATATATTGGCAATCTATGAAACTGAATCTTAGTTTTTGTGTTGACACTGTGTATAACAGAATTAGAATAAAAATGACATCAGTTTGATGTGTGTCCCCATACCATGTACTGTGAATGATATAGAGTACCACAGACAGCAAGATCAGAGGTCTTCTGTCTGAATAGTGTGACCTCAGTCTTGGTAGAAGCAGTAACATGAGATGTAGTTCTGGAGAATGTGGGATTGCTTACAGTTGGGGTGGTTATTGTCAAGGTTATAGCACTAGTTTCTCAACAGCTGTAGGAAGCCAAAGCGAATGATTGGTTTCCAGTGTTTGATCTAGATTCTGAAAAAGTCTCCTTGCTTTAAGGAAGCCTTCCTTGGCTTAAGTTCTTGGATAGCCTTCTCATTCATATATATGGGACATTATATATCACTAGATGTGTGACCTCCAGAACAGATAACATAATGAGGTGAGTTGGGACATGGAGCATCAACATGCCCAGTCTCACTGCACACACACCAGATAAAAGGCTGGATGCACACTGTTCTTATGTGTGCCATAAAGCTCTGGCATTGGAAGCAATGCACCAAATTGCGAACAAACAGCTGAACAGCAACATTATGTCTCTCCACCTGTACAGGTGAAACAGCTGAAAATACTAGCTTTTAGCAATACACCTGCTTGCTTCTTATTGTCAACCTCTACCAACAGTGCATCATTTTTCAGTCCAGAAGCATTCTTCAACATTCCAGCAATGATGTCCAAAGCCTTTTATATACAGAAAGGATTGATATTGTGCAGTGCTTTCTCAGCTGACAAGACTTTGAATATTATGAATCACATTAATAACTTTCACAGCAGACGTGCAGCGGCGCCAGGCTTATGTTTGAAGTTGCACTGAAACCATGCGAAAGCACCTTGGAGATAGGAAAGGTCTGGTGGAAGCCTTAGTAAATAATAAGTAGGTAAGCCTACGAGGTGCGATCGGAAAGTTTCCAGACTGCGCCTATAAAAACCCGTACACTTATCTCAGGTATTAAATTCATCCATCACCCTCGAAGTAGTTCCCCTGGGAGTGAACACAACGATCCCAGCGCCGCT